CATTGAAGTTGCGTCGCGTCGGAGATTACACTCGGCGGATTTAAAAAAATTTGCGCGCAGCATTGCTTGTTTATTAATGCATCTCATGAATAAATTAAATGCCCACCGGCTTTACGGTTGTGCTCATGCCACAGTCCTGGCGCGTTTCAACCCTTGGGATATTTTACTATAATAGTGTGTGTCTACAACGCGCGTTAAAATTTGCCTATAACATTAGCGCGTAACAAAGTTGTGATAAAGGAAAGAGTGCTAAAAACAAGGATCATTGATTACTTGAAATAGATACCAGGAGGGGGGGGGGGGTAAAAGAAAAGTTATATAACAATTTGTTATTTAATAATTTATTAAAATACATAAGTTTGTCCAACTCCCTATGTTATAACTGTAATATTATTATACATAATCCCAATTCAAAAGCTTGGTGATTAAAGCCCAGATGGTGACCAGTGGTACTTATTGCTATGAACTTTGTAACAAAACATGAATGGAAAGTTTTGGTTTTGGGTGACCCAGGCATTACTGGATTTATTTTCATTATCCTTCTCTATTACAGTAGATTGCTTTGGAAATCAATTTATAAATGAAAACCAGTGAAATGACATAAAATACACGCTATACATTGTTTTCATAAATTATTTTCAACTAAAACAGAACAGATTTTTTTGTCTTGGGTGAACTCAGTTTTGCTGATAACCGTATTTGCTTTATTAGAAGTGTGTTTTCTAAAAGTGCATGAAAACCAAAAGTTGCATTTACTGTATATTGGTTCAATGAAATATGACCATAGACATAGATTAACATTTACATACATGCGCTACTAATAGAGCAAATACAGTATATGCATTTCAAAATCTCCTTCCCAACTTGGTGAATCCATTAAGTCCCTGAGGATAAAAGTTATGCCAGTATTAATGTATTTCTTTCTTCCTCCCTCTTTCCTTTCCTTTTCTGCTTGGTGTATCAATTGCATGCTGTACATTCTCCATGCATTCTGCATCTTCTCGCTTTCACTTCATTTAGTATCAACAATCGTTTCAACAGTTGTCATTGGAAAGGGAAAGCCTAACAACACAATATCAACAAGATACTGGTCATTTACAGC